GGTATAAATAAAGCAGAAAACCATGAAATCAGCTGTTTCTCGTTTGAATTCAATTTGTTGTTCCACGCAATACCAAGTTTCCGAACTTACGTCACTACTTCGCCGCGAGTCGTTTTTCATCCATAAGAATCGAATAAATCTGGGAATACTGACCTCAAGCTAGTACATAATTGAAAATCATACCTTATAGCCGAGGCTTTTGCATACATGCTTGTAAGCCCAATGCCAAAGCTCTTGAGGGGTTCGCTTCTCGTCCTCTTCTTGGATAGTTTGACTAAAAAGGAAAAAGTTATTCTCGTTTGATCGCTTCAGGATGCAATTCCCACAGGAAAACACTCCAATACGGTCTCATGTAGAGTCGGGAGTGAGAAGAAGTTTAGTACTACAGAATTAAATTTCTACAGAATTGCACTTGGCTAGACATCGAATTTGATCCTTATTCCAACTACGGGTAAGATTTAAGTCAAAGTTGAGCTAGCCGACGGCTGCGATCTAACAACCAAACAAGCAGGAGAACAAAACAATAAATAAACAAATTATAAGCAAAGAGATAAGCAATTAGAGACGATCATCATTATGCCTTAGCTAGACTTCTCTGGAAAAATGCTCACAAAAGATCACTGTCTCTTAGATGATCTCAATATATTTAAGAGGCCATGTCTGTCCACGTTCAGCATACCGCGACTCATTCGCGATCACCATATTTTACGCTAACGCGTGATCTCTGGAGGATGGGGAGTTTCGACAAAGGGTTAATGAATACACGGACCATTGTGAACAGTATTAACCTAGCGATCTCTTATATATTTTGTAGGAGAAAACTTCTTTCCACCATCTCATTGTAGTTACTGTCACAACTAGAAAATAAAAAACGACAATTTTTTCGACCCTTGAGTGTCCCAGGTGCTATTCTTGGCGGCCACAGGTTGGCACTGGAAGGATATCTCAGAGACCATTCGGTCGTGAATTGTGCCTCTACTGCCAAATATCCTCTGACAGAAAAAGTTCCAGTACGTTATAATTACTGCCATCAAATGTACGACATATTTATTGCCATAAAGTACATTGTAGAGAGAACCTGTTTTGAAAGGAAAAAGTTCTTTCCGGAGCCTTATGCAGCTCCTTTTAAATGAGATAACGAATGATTTTCGACTTTTTTGACTATGTAAACCGGTAATGTAGCTGTTGTAATCGGAACGATTCGGGTTCAAACGTTGGCCAAACAATTTTTTTCAAAGCAAATCTCCCTTACTCATTATGCTTGCATGAGATTCGACGAAATGCCGCTCACCTAGAGCGCAGATGTTTATCGCGTTTCAGCCGTGGCTGAAAAGAAATAGCCACCTCCTAGGAAACAGCAATCCAGCATTCAGAACTCAACAATCTTGTACTATTTTCCAATAATCAGAAATGATGACCCCAGGTTGAAAAGTTGGTGTAAAGTCAACTTATTTGTGAGCTTGATCAGATGTGAATGGCGAAAAGCATAGATGAATAATAGGCACACCCAGTTTGAAATAAAAAAAAACAATTCACTGAAATGACCTTTGAGCTTTACTAATTGTTTCTGCTTCATGATGAACTAGAGAGTATAATGCCAGAAAAAAATCATTAGAAAGGACAACCACTCCCCATTGAAATGCTGTTCGAAGCAATTTTATTCAAAACAAATTCGAACGCCTAGGAGTTGACATCTTTTTAGTAGTGGAAATGAGCTAACGAATTGATTGGTTATTTGGCATTTTTAAATATTCACCCAAATTAAAGGAATCTCCAGACGAGCCGTTGGAAGAAATGTATAGAGGTATGTAGCTGTCCACCTTCCAAAAAAATCTCAAAAACCGAGCTTGGTCCTCTACACTGCGCGGAAAATTCTTGTCATTCTACAGATATGGGCAGTAATTAATTCCTCCAAAGAATGCTACAATAAGGACACCTGAAAGAACTGTCTCCTAATTATTCTCGTTCCTTCAACTTTATCGCTTCATATTTGTTTTTCGAAGGCACAGTTCACGATAATCCTAGATGCCTACCCAGTTTGGATTGAATAATAAAAGCTCAGAAGTAGAGAAGTGCAAAAATGACGAAGAACGCATGAAAATTGGCAAATCCAAGAAAAGACTTTAAAAATTTATTAGTAGAAATGGATTGTACGAAATTATGCGTTTGTAATCGTCTGGGTGTCTCTCATACAAGCATACTATTCGTCGGCGTTCTAACGCTTCATTGTAAGTGGTGCTACCCTAACAAGGCGCCTACTAATACAGCCGCTTTTGGGTGTGTATCTACGTTGACCATGCCGTTTTTGCAGCATTTATAAATCTCTGTCGAGGTCGTTTCCAACCCTGCACTGTCTCACCGTGCTATCCTTGAGGGCTACAGATCTATACTACGGGATAATCTCAGGAACATCCGGTGTGAAATGTGATTTTTTTATACAATTTTTCATTGATCGTAGTGCATGACTAATTGAATGTTAGGTGGATTAGTTGTTTGAAGCCTAAAAGCCTCTCTTTCCACAATAGTTCGATTAATGGTCTTTTTGGCACTATTTACCCTTT